CCAAACGGGCGTAAAACAGGGTTGTGTCATGTCTTCCTGGCTGTTCATACTGTATCTCGACAGCTGTTTACAAAAGCTGAAAGATAGCTGTTTGGGTGTGAAATTGGGTGACATAAAAGTAAATTGTCTGCTGTATGCTGATGATGCAGTGCTTATTGCACCATCAGAGGCAGAACTGCAGGCATTAGTCACGTGTATGAAAGAGGAATGTGAAATTAAAGGTCTCCGTTTGAATGCTAATAAAACTAAGGTTCTGGTATTTGAAAGGGACGAAGAGAGAACGAAGTGTGAAATATGGGTAAATCAGGAATGTCTAGAACAGGTAAATGAAATTGTATACTTGGGGAGTGCTTTTAGCCGGGATGGAAGATGTGATTTAGATGTGGACAGGCGTGTTGCTGCCGGGAACAAAGTCAATGGTGCCCTGACTGCGTTAGTCAAAAGGCAAGGCGTAGCGAAGAGTGCACGCCTTGCAATACATAACGCAGTGTTGGTACCGACTTTGTTATATGGCAGCGAAACCTGGGTATGCCAGAAGAAGCATAAAAGTAAGTTGAATGCAGTGGAGATGCGATCTCTTCGTAAAATGTGCGGCGTTACTATGGCCGACCGAAAGCGAAACGAAGAGATTCGCAATATGGCAGGTTTGAAAGATGACCTTATCACAAAAATTGATAAGGGCGTGCTTCGGTGGTTTGGGCACGTTGAGCGAATGAGTGAAGACCGAATGGTGAAGAAAATATATAGCGCGAAAGTTAATATTAAAAGGTGTCGAGGTAGACCGAGACTAACTTTCGAAGACCATGTGAGCAAATTGCTCGAAGAGGGTAGGGTCAAGAGTACTCGGATACCTAGACGTGCATGTATGAAGAAGATAATGAATCTGAAAGAAGCGAAAGAGATATGTAAGGATCGTGACACTTGGCGATCTGTTCTCTCTGGCTACCCCGTCAGGGATTGTGCGTGAAGATAAGTAAGTAAGTAAGTCATATTATGGCTTCGATCACTTCAAGAGCCAATTTTTATATATATGTTTTAAAAATAAAACTTTAACTTTAAACAAAGAAAGCTCAGATCACCTCTGACAATTCAAATGTTATGCGTCACAACTTGTAATTACATTGGCTCCCTATGCCCTTCATATCTGAACATAGCAGTGTACATTCTGCTGTTTGGCGGCAGAAATACGTTTGAAGGATAGTACCAGCTCAGACAGGCTCCTAGGTAGAAGTAGTCTGACCATTCATAGATAGATGTGTATTATTAGCATAATATTCCAATGTCCTGTGTGAATCTTATTCCAATGTATTTTTAGAATATTAAAGGCTTGCATTAGGTTCTTGGTGAAATAATAAATACAACTCATGTATTAATAAGTCGTAATTGAAGAGTACTTAATATGTATTTGTATATTCACCGATTTACATGTGGGACAATAATTCATAAAAATATATATAATATGACTTTCAAGAAATATTATGTAATAATCTACATTGAATAAAATTATTCTATTCAATTCTATAAAAAAAAAATAAAGTCATTAAGTTTAACTTTATATATTACAAATAATTGAAAGACAATATATTCACGCACGGTTTTGATTTCCTATTTAAAGATTAAATGTGCAAAAAGGGTTAAGGCCCTCTTGTGGTCGGTGTGTAGGTATATGAAAACGTTACTTCTTTCCCTGAAATTTTCGAGCGAATTAGTACTAAAGCGGGAAGAATTTTCGAAAAAACAACATACGTCCAAAAGTAGAAGGTACGCATAGGGCTTCCGCGAGCGCCTTAACTGTTCTATTCAATTTAGTTTTCTTTTTTAGATAAAAATTATTTCGTTTTTTTGCAATAACTACATAGATGTTCAAAAGTATTACAACATCACATTAGAAGTTTTATTTATAATCGTAGAGTAGAGAGGTATGAGACAGATTAATTAGCGTGCTAAGTATATTTTGTTTTAAAATATCTTTGTGTATTATTCATCACTGCTTAAAAATGTATAAAGTGTTTGGTACACTTGGTAGGTAATAAACGTATATTATATGTGTTGTTGTTTGGAATTCTGTCATATGAGCTTTCATATATTTATTATATATGTAAAAATAATTAAATGAGTGCAGGATGGTAATCGAGCTTAATTTGAAAGGCATATCTATAATACGTTTAGAAATTTAAGATAAGATTGTCATAATAAATGTTTTGGTCGTTTTAAGTAAGGATAATAAAAGATAAATGTGTCCATTTTTATCAGTTGTATTTTTAAGCTTATTTCATATCAGGTTCACCTTTTTATTGATATAAACTTAAAATAATATGAGTGCAATTGTGACATTAAATTGTATGAACGGAGAACGCGTGTTAGTGTGACAGTAATTTTACCTAATACTTAATATGGCCAAAGCTTTGAACGGTATTTAAGTAATTTTTCCGTAACAGTGAACAAATTTGTATTAACAATATTGTACCTCACTTTATTTTAATTAATATGTTAGTATTATCTACACATATGCCATTCCACGAGATTTGCTCAGTCAACAATCATCATTGTATGTTTGATTGTTGAGCAAATCTCTTGCATTAGTTGTTTCCTCTTGAAATCTTACAATGAAGAAAACGACTACGAAGGGATCAACTCACATTAGTTGGTCTCGTTAGCTCGAATGACAATAACCACAATAACACGTCCACACTTTTTTAACTATCTTTGTCGCACTTTTCTGACGGACTCAGCATAAATTAATTATGCACAATATATTTCAATAGGATTTATTATAATAAAAAATATGTTAAGTGTTAATTAGAAAAAGCAAGACAGGTAAAGTGATCCTGATCATGTAGAATTGTAGGTTCTCTCTATGCATACATATGTATATAATTACTCTAAGAGTCAGAGACACGAACCATAATTAGTCGTAAGTATAACACTGATGTCTGTATATACAATACGAGCAATTGTTTTATTCAAATTTAATATTGTTAAACGTCCATAAAAATAAATTTTGCTAATTGTATTCTGACTAAATTCTTGCTACTTTTTAAAAGATATATTAATAATGGTGAATGTATTTTTCGATGTATTATTGTGTTGTGCTCATACTCCTATTGTCTATCTGGTATACATCTCAAGTAAAGTAATTGTTGTCTATGTATTTACTGTTTGTAGTCTGTCTTAAAATTATATACATGTCTATATGTGTACGAATTGTTGTTTTATTTTTGATCACCAAGCACAGACTTAACCTCAAATGATAATCAACCTCTTTTTCATTGACATAAAATATTGGTATATTATATATATACATCTTTATAATATATCTTTAATGCATGGGAGAATTCACAGGATGCTTTGGGTATATTTTGTGACCTATCCAAGGTCTTGGATTGTGTTCACCATGAAACATTAATCAGGAAACTTCAACACGACGGTGTAAGAAGTGATATTTCTTATTTATTTACACTGTTTGGCACTAAAGGTGCAAATAGCTTATGCAATATGGTTAGTAATGATGATGAGGGTATGAGCTCTATCATCACGAACTTTTACATGATCAGCTCATAAAAGCCCGCGCCGTGAACATTGAACTCGCCACACTTGGCAGGCGGATTGACGATCGCAGTACCATGTGTAATCGTACCTTTGACGCTGCTGTCCGTCGCCGGCGGGGGTATTTTGACGTTCTCCAAATGGTCGTACCGCCATCTGTCGCAAGCCATTAATATTTACTGGAATTGAGCAAAGTCGCCCCCTACCACAAACAACGTAGTAAAGTGGTGATGGATAAGAGTCCGTCGACCCATTTTAAATTCAATAAAATATATTTTTTCCGTTGTTGCAGATATCACAAAATTAATAATTGTGTACAGTCTTACAGTATACACTCACAAGTTTTGCCCCAATCATCTACATTTCAAGACATCAAAACAACAGATTGTTCAAATGGTCCAGTGGTAACTACTTCAAATATATTTTCTGATTTTTTCAAAACTAATGCAACTTCTAAATTTGAAAATATGTATAATATAATGAAAAATAATGTAGATAGTAAATATAGAAATCAATCACAGCCAAATTTAGAATCAAATTCATTTGGCAATGCAGTAGAGGCAAATATAAAGGTAGAATATTCCGACGAAACTTTTGACCCAACTCGTCCACTTACATAAATTTAAACAGTGGAAAGACCGTTCTTACCAGTATATTTAATTTTGATGACAATCAAGAAATTTTCAATTTAAATCAAACATTTAAGAATAATTCTAAGTTAAAAATTATCACATGTGAGCTACTTTAGAATAGATGTGTCGACGATGAAGAACTTAAAGCTATAAAAAAGGCTGTTTTCAGCATTATTAATACACTAAACCAGCGGTCGGCAACGCGCGGCCCGCGGGCCGCATGCGGCCCGCGGACGTTCTACTTGCGGCCCGTGAATGTTATGTAAATAAATCCTAATAATATCAAAATAGATGCATAAACGAACCACAAACATATAGCGTATAGCTATAGTCAATATTGTATAACGCGCTTCGCTCTGCCCGCGGATGAAATGTGCATATATCAGAGATTAGTTTTTTTTTTACCTTGAAGCCTGACATTTAGCGTATTTAACATAACTGTAACATTAAAAGTATTATGTTGTAGCAAACATTATAAGTGTAAAATAAATAGGAATCTCGGACTATCTGTCCGCCGCGCGCGAACCCCGCACAACCGTATAGTAGTGTGGAACCCGCTTCGCTTGGCTCGCGAATGAACAATAATTAATGAACGACGCGCGGGAGGGGCGCGGGCGGAACAAACGAACGTTAGCGAGAACAGTTGCTTTCCGCTCTCCGTCAATTACCTACTTTGATGCGTGATTAGTGAAACAATTTCATTTGTTGCGTTTTTGTTTTGATTTCGGTAAGTGTGAGATTACTTTTTATTATACACTTTTGATAGGTACCGATCTACGTAAGCTTGGTCTGGTAATAATGCTTTTATTGTTACAGTTGATAATGGCTTCTAAAAAAAGGAAGTTAGCAGAAGAAAATAGGGTATTTAACGATGCATGGACAGATTTATACTTTTTTATTAATTGCAATGGCAAACCGCTATGCTTAATATGCCAAAAAACCCTTACTATACAAAAGGAATATAATGTCAAACGCCACTATGATAGCGAGCATAAAGCTAAATTTGCATGCGTAGTGGGTGAATCACGAAAAAATAAAATTAACGCACTGAAATCTTCAGTTAAGAATCAACAAAATGTTTTTAAGGTTCAAGTACAAAGTAACGAGTCGAATATACGTGCAAGTTTAAGGGTAGCGGAAATTCTTGCGAAGTCTGGCCGACCATTTACCGACAGCGAACTTATAAAACAATGTGCTTTAGTCATGGCTGAGGAGGTGTGCCCCGACCTAAAAAAAAAATTTGAAAATATAAGTCTTTCTGCAAGAACGTGTACCCGGCGAACTGAAGATTTGGGCGATAATTTATGTCAGCAACTCCGGGAAAAAGCACAACAATTTGAATGGTTCTCTTTAGCTACCGATGAAAGTAATTATGTTACTGATACTGCCCAGCTTTTAATATTTGTTCGCGGAATCGATAAGAACTTTAATGTCTATGAGGAGCTTTTACATTTATGTAGTTTGAAGGGCACGACTACCGGAGAAGATTTGTTTTGTAACTTAGAACAAGCGCTAGTATCAATGCAATTACCATGGGAAAAATTGGTAAGTGTTACAACTGACGGAGGCAGGAACATGAGTGGACAAAATAAGGGTTTGGTAGGTAGAATCAAATCGAAACTGGCAGAGATAGGATGTGCCATCCCATTATTTTTCCATTGCATCATCCACCAAGAAGCGTTATGTTCCAAGGTCGTATCATGGAAAGAAGTAATGGACATCGTGGTATCGACTGTAAACTACATCAGAAAAAATGGATTGACTCATCGTCAATTTCAACAGTTTCTGTCAGATACGGAAGCAAATCATCGAGATGTTGTTTATTATTCTGAAGTGCGATGGTTAAGTAGAGGCGCAGTGCTAAAAAGATTTTTTGATCTCAGAAAAGAAATCAATACTTTTATGAATGAAAAAGGCAAATCTATTCCAGAGCTGACAGACACTCAATGGTTAATAGACCTTGGATTTTTGACAGATGTAACTCATGAATTAAATACGCTAAATGTAAGGCTTCAAGGTAAAAAAAAACTAATTTCTGATATGTACACAGACGTAAAAGCATTTCAAATGAAAATTAAACTCTTTATAAAACATATTGACGAAAAAAAGTTGGATCATTTTCCGAATTGTAAAGAGGCTGTTGAGGAAGCTGGAATTAATTTTCATTGGAAAATTGATAAAATGAAGGATATTTTAATACAACTGCAATCTCAATTCAGCGACAGATTTTGTGATTTTGAAAAAGTTTCAAGTAAACTGAAGGTGTTTGCAAACCCTTTTTCATGTGATATTGAGGAAGTACCGAGTAATTTACAAATGAACATGATTGATCTCCAGTCTAATGATGTTCTTAAAAGCACTTTCTATGAACTCAAAGATCTTGTTAAGTTTTATGGTAGCTTGCCTTCTGATTTTGACGAATTGAAAAAGTTTGCTCAGCAGTTCATTACAATTTTTGGTAGCACTTATTTATGCGAACAAACTTTTTCAATTGTCAATTACAGAAAAAATAAATGTGCATCTCGTCTCACAGATGAGCATTTGAGAGCCATTCTACGAATTGCAACTACAAATATGACAGCTAACATACAAGAAATAGCCTCCCAAATACAACCTCAGACATCACACTGAAAGTATATTAGTAATTTTGTAGTTTTAATTTCTATTTTAATTTCGTTATTTTCTAGCTATAAACGTAATGTAATTACATGTACGAATTAAATTCCGTATGTTTTAACAATTTGAATGGCATTTTCATTTTTTCTATGGGATTTGATGAATAAATAAGTGTGTAAATCACAAGTGCGGCCCGCCTTTAGTTTATTTTGCCACCTAGTGGCCCTTGCCCGCCAAAAGGTTGCCGACCGCTGCACTAAACAATAAAAATAACGAAAAAAAAAAACCAGTTAATATACAAACTGATAAGATCTTGATTTACATTTTAATTTCTTTATAAATCTATTTTATTTTTGTAGGGTCATAATCCAGTGGCGGCTGCAAAAGTACAAGTCCCCAAACTGCAACAAATTGCACCTATTCAGAGTCACCATACGGGATTTTTGCAAGCCGTACCCCGCCCAAAAGGTCAAACCAGGCGCCCACATTCTCTTAGAGACTTTTCAGGTAACAACAACAGTTATAATAATCAAAGACAACATCCGTATCGCAATCAAAACCACGATCTAGCTACGACTCCAGGAGCTCAGGGTCATTACGATTCCAACAACAATGTGATTGCGTTACTTTAACCACAACAGTAACTACAATACTATGTGGGTGCAATGAAATAATAACCGGCAATAACAAGATGCCGCTGGCTGCAAGCAGTATATTATGCCACATAATGTAATTTTTATTTTTATTTCAAATATTATATTAATTTGCATTTATATTCGATTTTAACGTCTATGTCTGTTGTCAAATTATAGAATTTTTGGGAATATTTGCTTTACTTGCCATGCTTTGGATTTCATAGTCTACATTTTTAACTTTTATTAAATTTAGACGTTTCAAGTGCTTATTGTGAGCAGCTCTGCGTACAGTTATGTTCAGATATATTAGATGTTCGATTATGTGCCAGAGTGTAACTGAAGGGCTAGCCATCTAATAATCCGGCTAATTAAACTATCTAGCTGCGATACATATTCATCACAACAAAACTTTTAAGAACTATTAACTTGACAGTCATTGTCTTTTCGATTATTAACATGAATAAAAAACTTATTTGAAATACAATACTTGACATTACTACTACCACCTAACTATAAATTTATTAATTATCATACTTAATTATAATACTATATTCGTGAAATAAAGTAAAAGCGATTCGTTTCGATGCATCTTAAATATACATTTATATGTAAATATTTACTAAAACTTTACATATTTCTTAGTTAACATTGTTTCATGGCAAATGTAAGAGCACTTGAACTGTTTTGGCTATTTGGTTCCCGATTAGAGTTACCCGCCAATTTTATTTGTCGCGTCTCTTCCCGCCAATTTTGTTTGCCGTACTGTACTTCGAATTGTAAACGATAAAACAAAGTGTTCTCAGACATAGTCAAACTCTGATGGATTACGTTAGTATGCGTATATATTTTGCTTAGAAATAAGACGGTTCTCATCAAACATGGTTGTACCACGTAGTAAATGTTAATATTTAGTAGCCAACAAATTTAACTAAATGTAATAAGGTGGTGTTTATTAATAAAATGTATACTCGTAGTAAGTATAATTGTTACGGCCTACGGCTGCTCCCTTAGAGGATCAAATCATCAGGGGCCCATGAGCTGAAGACTTCCCGAGCAGACGTAGGTCGAGCCTCAATGTGGCCACGTGGAATCTCTCTAATTACATTAAATATACGGGGGAGCGTTCTATACTACGGCCAGTCAACCGGCAGAGGAATTAGGCGAAGCTTACTTACCTATATCCAAGGCGACTGGTCCCTCCGGAGTCGGTCAGGTCACATGTGGTTGTGTAGTGAAAGGGAAATAAGTGATGTGATGTGTATCTGGGTGTGACTGATGGTGATTGAACCTAGACCTTGGCCGTCGGTAGCAGCCCGAGCGTCGACACCGCTCCAACTTGAGGGGGCCTTTCGAGGTTATCCACAGTCACTTTCTTCTTTCGTCACGTTGACAGTCAATTAACTCTATCGTACGATTTACTAACTTACAGAAGCCACTAACTATCGCTGGTTATAAGGTTAACACACAAAACGCACACGGAGTTTACAGTTTATTAAAGGTCATTACCGTTTCGCGTCGCAACAGTTAATTCTAGAATATTAGAGGCCGCACTAGCTAATATTGCCTAATGCACTTATGCAGATTCTGAGTCAAACACAATGAGTCCCTGGGAAGCTCTCCAGCAGGAATGCGCGTCACAATGATAGACCGTATATTTACTGGCCGCGCCGAATTATTCCGAGTTCCCTAACAGAATACAGCGTGCCAATCGTTAGCACCGCTTATGGACGACTGACAGCCCTTGGGCGTTTTACGCACGACCGAATGTCAAACCGGTATGACACTGAGCCGCACGCCCTCTGGCGTTCGTTCCTTGAAAGTGTTTGGCGCGAACAAACCCCCGTCCCGGACATAAGGATTTAGGTCCGCGAGCAAACGGGTCAGCGGGACAAGGTCGCGAAGGCAAGTTGCAAGACCGAATCTACAACCAAACTAGGCCACCTTATGCACCCCATCAGATCTTGCAACCCTAACCAGCGCCTCAAAAAATAGCCCTAATGTGGCAAGTCGGAGGGTCAGCCTCCACTGGATGCTCATCCTGGGCATCGCAGCACTTTAACAAGTCCTGTACTGGACCGAAGTCCGACGACCTCTTTCAAAACCTATCTGTGCCCCTACGATTAGTTCCGCAATCCGACCGGATCAGGTCTGCAAACAGCGACGCGACACGAAGCGGCCCCGAGCCGGCCTCCTAAGCTTCAGTGCAGAGAGCACCCACAAATTCCACATGAACGTCGTCTGTGGAGAGCCGAACGAAACGCACAGATAGTCCCTAGTATGAATTTTCAACAAGTAGGCCTAGCCAGGCCACCCACCATATTATCATTTACTAAAATAGTGCGGCAGCTGATTTCAATCTGATAATCTCCAAAACTAGCTAGCCTGTTAGACAAGTAGTCCTATGCTCATATTTCAACTAATTTTTCAAAAGCATCAATGTTCAACTACAGAATTAATTCAACCAAATTAATCACCGATGCGTATAGGCCAACTTGCAAATTAAACAAAACAATAACGTAAGGGACAGCCCTACTTCTTCGCAAAGCAAAATGATTAAACACTATCATAAACATAAACATAATTTTTCAAATAGTGCGCCATTCACTTTCAGATGAATTCAAATTTTCCTTTCGGCAAACAGACGCAACAATCAAATACAGTGATTAAATATATTTACAAAACACATGCAGTAGCATTTAAAAGAGTAGATTAAATTCAATTCTTTTAATTTAAACCGCTACAAATAGGAAAATTTCGCGGAAAGCTTAAATCATTTTTTAATTTTAATTCAAGTATTTTTTTGACTAAGTGCTCGACCAAGCCAAATCTAATACCCCTTGACAGCGTGATTCAACGCTCCAGAGGGGCCCTAATCTTCCCACCACCAAGGGGAGGCCACATGGCGTGAACCCGAGATCGCTAACAGTCGCCACTCGGGTTGTACGCCTTCACTGAGGCCGTCGGCAACAGAACATTTTGACAAGTGGACTGTTGACGGCTTAAGGCTCAGTGGAGGTGGCCGTGGTGGGAGCTAAGGCGGCAGCTAGCCAGGGCCGCCTCCATCAAATGGGGAACAGTGGTACACCAGTCGCGGTCACTCAGCTAACGGGAGTGAGAAGGGTCCAGCGGACCGATGAGTGGCCGTGAAGTTCCTCTCAACACGCTTAGGGGGGGTGATGACATCCCCGCCCCTGGGGGAATTACCCCCCGACTGGTCGGGGGAGGGGCCCCTTTCAAACTTAGGGGCCTGGTGGCTGGCCGGCGGGCGCCGAGAGTCGCCCGGCAGAGGGCGTGGCTGAGCGCCCCCGCCCGTGGGGGTCGAGGGCCTGGCAGAGCCCCGAGAGGAGACGCCGTTCGCACCCAGGCACAAAACGGCATGGTGATTGCCCTGGCAATGCAGACAGGGCCGTCGATGCGGACAGTCTCGCTGGAGGTGCCCTCCCAGACATGACCAGCACCAGCGGCGCTCCTTGGCGATAGTTCGCCTCGCTGGAACCGGCTTACCTAATAATTTCGGGCAATACGTTACCCGGTGATCAGATGCTCGACAATAGGAGCAGGGGGGGGGTTGACGACGACTTGCCTGGCGGGTTCAGCCTCTCACTGGGCGCGTCTCGTAAGTCGTCAACGGTGCCCGCCGCGTTCTCGATCTGCCGGCACTGCTCCTCTAAAAACCGCAGCAGGTCAAAGAAGGGCGGGATGTAGGAGGCCTCGTCCCCGCCGTACCTCTCCTCAAAATGGATTCGAAGGTCGAGAGGTAGACGGGACAGCACTATGCGCAGCAACAAAAAGGCCCATTCGCCCACTGGTAAACCCAGCCACCTCAACGTATTACAGGCCACCAAGACTGGATCCAACAGGTCCGGACGCAGTCTGGCCCGGTTAATAAGCAGCGGGAGGCTTAGAAGCTGCTTAACATGCTCGTCCGCAATTCGCCGGACGTTGGCGTATCTTCTGGCTAGGAGGTCCCGAGCAATCTGGTAGACGTCGTCCGACAATCTCAAGTGGCCGACGACGCCCAGGGCCTCCCCCTCCAGTGAGGCCAGGAGGTACACCATCTATTGGCTCGGGGTCAAGTCACTCCGGGCGTCCACTAGGCTGTCGAAAAGACCAACGAAGGTCAGCCATTCGGAAAGGACCCCGGAGAACTTTGGCAGGTCCAGAGTTGGGAGTCGACCCAACAGCTCCGGCTGAAGCTGCTTCAGAGAGGACTCGGACAGGTCACTCATCCGAGCTTCACGCGCCTCCTCGGCATACCTGCCTTCAGCCTCGATCAACTCGTCCGTGAGCCACAAGAACTGCTCATAGTCCGCGAAGCAGGAGTCCAGAACTCCCTTCTCCACATCCGAATCCTCGAGCTCAGCGTAAGCCTCCTCCACTACGGCCCTTCGAGCATCCACCTGCTCGAACCGCTTCATCAAGTTATGGACCCTATCCGGTCGACCTATCAAAGCATGGGCGCTTGTGGCCCAGCGTAGCTCAGTCCGCAAACAACGGATCAGTAACTTGGGCGATGTCATCACTATTAAATGCAAATTACGACGCGGCTTGAGCACAGATTACAAAGATCAATCAAATAGATAACTTCAAATCTATCTGAAAGATGAAAGATATTATCTGAAAACAGATAACAAAAATTACAACAAAAATTAACAGTTAATAAATGCAGTTCCTATCAAATCGCGTTGAATAGAAATTACACAAATACGAATTACTACGTATCAACCAAATACAAGTTAGCACAAAAGAAAAGACACAAATCAAATTAACAAATAACAAATACTAGTGCGATCAAATCAAGTTAAATTCAAATTGCGCAAATACAATTACTACTCTTTAGTTCAAATACAACTTACAGTATAAACGAAGATACACATCACGGTCGATCAACAAAAAATGCCTAGCTCGGAAATCGCCCCTTCGATAAGTAATCCACTACAAATATCCGACAACGATAATAAACCGATTACGTAAAAATAACCATCTACCTACATGACGTATATCTCTAGAAAACTCCCGCTTGCGCAACCTAGGGCGCGGCTTTTCAAATCTACCCACTAACCAAAAAAAGGCAAGCAACAAAGAACAAAGGGAAATAATTCTATTATTACCTACAAAAAAAATATTTTTACGTATTACGGACGGGCGTGATTGTAGATACAAGTTAAACCAATCAAACCAACGCTCCCTGCCACCAGAATTGTTTAATGTTTATCAAACACTAAGGTCGGGATCGACCGGGAATCGAACCCGGAACCACGCTCTGCTACCAGTTTGTTACGGCCTACGGCTGCTCCCTTAGAGGATCAAATCATCAGGGGCCCATGAGCTGAAGACTTCCCGAGCAGACGTAGGTCGAGCCTCAATGTGGCCACGTGGAATCTCTCTAATTACATTAAATATACGGGGGAGCGTTCTATACTACGGCCAGTCAACCGGCAGAGGAATTAGGCGAAGCTTACTTACCTATATCCAAGGCGACTGGTCCCTCCGGAGTCGGTCAGGTCACATGTGGTTGTGTAGTGAAAGGGAAATAAGTGATGTGATGTGTATCCGGGTGTGACTGATGGTGATTGAACCTAGACCTTGGCCGTCGGTAGCAGCCCGAGCGTCGTCACCGCTCCAACTTGAGGGGGCCTTTCGAGGTTATCCACAGTCACTTTCTTCTTTCGTCACGTTGACAGTCAATTAACTCTATCGTACGATTTACTAACTTACAGAAGCCACTAACTATCGCTGGTTATAAGGTTAACACACAAAACGCACACGGAGTTTACAGTTTATTAAAGGTCACTACCGTATCGCGTCGCAACAGTTAATTCTAGAATATTAGAGGCCGCACTAGCTAATATTGCCTAATGCACTTATGCAGATTCTGAGTCAAACACAATGAGTCCCTGGGAAGCTCTCCAGCAGGAATGCGCGTCACAATGATAGACCGTATATTTACTGGCCGCGCCGAATTATTCCGAGTCCCCTAACAGAATACAGCGTGCCAATCGTTAGCACCGCTTATGGACGACTGACAGCCCTTGGGCGTTTTACGCACGACCGAATGTCAAACCGGTATGACACTGAGGCGCACGCCCTCTCGCGTTCGTTCCTTGAAAATGTTTGGCGCGAACAATAATATAGAAAGATTTGCTTAAATTAAAATTAGTAAAAGCTTATAATGTTTGTGAATCGTGTGTTTATCTTGGGATTTAATTATCCTACTGTTAGTCAATTCATATCGTCTTTAGTCAATTCTGTAGTTTGTAAAGGTAGTAATTAAGTCAGAAATAATTTAGTTTTCATATTATGGCTTCGATCACTTCAAGAGCCAATTTTTATATATATGTTTTAAAAATAAAACTTTAACTTTAAACAAAGAAAGCTCAGATCACCTCTGACAATTCAAATGTTATGCGTCACAACTTGTAATTACATTGGCTCCCTATGCCCTTCATATCTGAACATAGCAGTGTACACTCTGCTGTTTGGCGGCAGAAATACGTAAGAAGGATAGTACCAGCTCAGACAGGCTCCTAGGTAGAAGTAGTCTGACCATTCATAGATAGATGTGTATTATTAGCTCTTACATAATATATATGTATGAGTTTTGTAGCAGCTGGTGTGTGGCCCATGTTAATGAATATTAACTGCAATGGCTTATTGTATGGGTAGTTGAAATAATATTCCAATGTCCTGTGTGAATTTTATTCCAATGTATTTTTAGAATATTAAAGGCTTGCATTAGGTTCTTGGTGAAATAATAAATACAACTCATGTATTAATAAGTCGTAATTGAAGAGTACTTAATATGTATTTGTATATTCACCGATTTACATGTGGGACAATAATTCATAAAAATATATATAATATGACTTTCAAGAAATATTGTGTAATAATCTACATTGAATAAAATTATTCTATTCAATTCTATAAAAAAAAAGTCATTAAGTCTAACTTTATATATTACAAATAATTGAAAGACAAATATATTCACGCACGGTTTTGATTTCCTATTTAAAGATTAAATGTGCAAAAAGGGTTAAGGCCCTCTTGTGGTCGGTGTGTAGGTATATGAAAACGTTACTTCTTTCCCTGAAATTTTCAATTAATAAATTAGATCTGCTTTAGAAATAAAATAATTTTTATCTAGTTTGGAGCACCTCTTTCTCTCCCTTAATTGCGTACACTTCACCGTCAGGTGCAAGTAGACTTTGCGAAGATCTATTTCTTAGGACGATACCTCACTTAGAGGCAAAACAAGTGCATAATGGATGGTGATTTGTTTCTGTTTTCTTGGTATTGGGAATAGGTATTGGCATTATATATGTAAAAATAATTAAATGAGTGCAGGATGGTAATCGAGCTTAATTTGAAAGGCATATCTATAATACGTTTAGAAATTTAAGATAAGATTGTCATAATAAATGTTTTGGTTGTTTTAAGTAAGGATAATAAAAGATAAATGTGTCCATTTTTATCAGTTGTATTTTTTAAGCTTATTTCATATCAGGTTCACCTTTTTATTGATATAAACTTAAAATAATATGAGTGCAATTGTGACATTAAATTGTATGAACGGAGAACGCGTGTTAGTGTGACAGTAATTTTACCTAATACTTAATATGGCCAAAGCTTTGAACGGTATATAAGTAATTTTTCCGTAACAGTGAACAAATTTGTATTAACAATATTGTACCTAACTTTATTTTAATTAATATGTTAGTATTATTTACACATATGCCATTCCACGAGATTTGCTCAGTCAACAATCATCATTGTATGTTTGATTGTTGAGCAAATCTCTTGCATTAGTTGTTTCCTCTTGAAATCTTACAATGAAGAAAACGACTACGAAGGGATCAACTCCCGATATAAAATCTACTTTACAGAAAAAGGTTTATATAGTCTCACGAAGTTTTCTGAACAAATCGCTGTATGACTATCACAGGCTTTAATATAAATTAGATCTGCTTTAGAAATAAAATAATTTTTATCTAGTTTGGAGCACCTCTTTCTCTCCCTTAATTGCGTACACTTCACCGTCAGGTGCAAGTAGACTTTGCGATGATCTATTTCTTAGGATGATGCCTCACTTAGAGGCAAAACACGTGCATAATCGATGGTGATTTGTTTCTGTTTTCTTGGTATTGGGAGTAGGTATTGGCGTAGGGTTATTGGTGACGGTGACAGTGCAGGTATAATTCAAGTAGGGAGTGGGTTGGTGTTCAAGATAGGGAAGACACGTTATAAATATTTTTCACGCGAATCTTACCTGATTTATTTTAAACAGATTTGATTTATAAATTTTTCGCAAAGTAACGTCTGATTCTGATATGACTTATGTACATACTCTCTGATGTTATCAGAAGGACAAACTGCTTGTTTTAATGACCTAGACAACAATAGACTTTCTATTAAATTTGAGAACATGTACAATATTGGAAGGTACAGCAAACTATACGACACAAGTAGTTATAACATAACTAACACTATGACATGGAATTGTTATGGGTCAGGAAAATGCTGGTATGGTAGTGAATGTGGAAATGGATATAAACTAAACACTCTAGAAAAAAACAGCACAAACCCAAATGGCTATGGATGCCACATGTCATCTGTATCTTGTAATGGTTTATGTACTCATGGAGTGTCATGTGTCTGGTATAGGTGGGAAGTTTTGCCTAACATGAATAATGTTGCAAAAGTATATCACTCAGTGTCAGAATTATGGGAAAGTACACTTGTTATAATTTATAAAAACATTTCTAGAACAGTAGTATTCAATACTAACAACCCTACATTTGATCTGCATGATATACTGAACTATGAAATGTCTCATATGCCAGTTAATATTCATAGTGTAACTTATGAAAAGCCATTAAACAAACATGCTATTGTAGAATATAAGAATAATTATTATAATTTGGATGTGAGTCCACACAACTTGCCAATTGCCAATATGATTGGAGACATACAAATATCTGATGACAAGAAAGTCATATTTCACACAGATAACATTGTAGTATTGATAGCTGTGTAGTTAAATGTGTTTTGAATGAACCATCAATAAATAGGTTATTAGATCGTAGCCCATACAAAGTTGATCCAGAAATTATCCATAAAATGACAACCTTTGGAGAAAAATGGATAATGTATAAGCAAAGGGTGGCTGGGCATGTCACTATATCTTTTGGGAATGTTGAACTTAAAGAACTTATTGTTGAAAAACCACATTGCTCTGTTGAAATTGTCATGAATTATGCATGTTTATCATGTCTAGAATTACCAAAAGTGGTAATAGCATCAAAGGGATTAGTTAGAGAGGGAGCACTAACTTATGAATCCAACTGTACCTGGGATCACGACCTATTGTCATGCAATAGTCAAATGTATGAAATTAAACAACTATCTATTCATCCGATATGTAGAATCCATATTCCTATATTGAATCAAACTATTGATATCAACTTTAATTTTGAATACAGGGGTACCCTCACTAATATGAAATCAATTAGAGCTGAAACAACACTTGATGTAATAAGTACAATTGGATCAGACCCATACTTTTATACTACATTATTAGGATCTTTAAGTAGTTTTCTCCTTTTAACTACCATTACAACGGTAATCATTAAATTGACTAAACTAGGTATCATAGCATGTGGAAAGAAAGAAATTTCTAATGCTTAGTCATATGTGATTAGATTTAAGCTTCTTGTAATCATGATTATAATTGTAACCATTTATTAATTAGGAACACCTATCTTAACCCGGCGTCATGGGGGTTGGGTCAAAATTACCCGACGAGTTTTGATTTACGTATAAGTCTTTTACTATATATTGGATAGTGCTGTCCCTTTCAGTAGCTGGAGTTATTGATATGTTCTAACCGTTCGTGACAAGCAATCAGTCGGGCGGCGTCTGCGTTAGTGGGTACGCGTGTGCAAAGTAGAAAAAGGTAAATATGACCCATCCCTGTAGTCAATGTAACAATTTCGCGCCATATTTATGATGAAAATTTTAAGTTGTTTTTTCGATAAATATAATGTGTTTTATACTTTTTATGATGAAATTCAAACGCATGTTTGTCGAATAAATATCTGTAGTCAATGTAACAATTTCGCGCCATATTTATGATGAAAATTTTAAGTTGTTTTTTCGATAAATATAATGTGTTTTATACTTTTTATGATGAAATTCAAACGCATGTTTGTCGAATAAATATCTGTAGTCAATGTAACAATTTCGCGCCATATTTATGATGAAAATTTGAAGTTGTTTTTTCGATAAATATAATGTGTTTTATACTTTTTATGATGAAATTCAAACGCATGTTTGTCGAATAAATATCTGTAGTCAATGTAACAATTTCGCGCCATATTTATGATGAAAATTTTAAGTTGTTTTTTCGATAAATATAATGTGTTTTATACTTTTTATGATGAAATTCAAACGCATGTTTGTCGAATAAATATTTAGTTTGAGTTTTACTTTTTTGTAGGTAGTTCGCAAAAATGGACCCAGAAGAAAGACTACGTCATAGGCTAATGGCAGTTCTTGAGGAATCAGATTCGGATGTGGATATGTGTGACCAAGAATCAGCTGAAGAAGACCATGTGAGTGAACGTAGTCAAGAGAGTGACACGGAACAAGAGGCCTCAGATAGCGATGATGACAGTATCCCGTTGTCCATGCTTCGAAACCAAGCACGTTCTGATAATATTGAGGCAAATCCTTATGTGCAACAGGAATCCCGTACAACAAATCGTGAGTCACAACTTCCACATTATCTTGGCAAAGATGGAACGGTTTGGTACAAGACACCGTTCCGTCAAAATACTCGGATCAGAGCTGAAAATATTGTAACGCAACGCCCAGGTGCAGCTTCTGTGGCGCAATCTGCTATGACTGAAATAGATTGCTGGTCTCTTTTTTGTACTGAAGATATGCTAGAAAATGTTTTCAGATATACTAATGCACGTATTAGACCTAAAATTTTATCTTGTCAGAATTTATCTAAGTATACCCACATAAAAGAATGCAGTATGGCTGAATTAAAAGCTTTCTTAGGGCTTTTGTATATTGCTGGACTAAACCGCTCTGAGAGGCAAAATTTGAGTGATTTGTGGGCTACTGATGGTACGGGAGTGGAAATATTTGGTCTTGTTATGTCAAAACAGCGTTTTCATTTTATCCAAGCTTGCTTGACTTTTGATGACATTTCCACTCGTGAAGAAAGGAAAGCACTAGATAACTTAGCACCTATAAGGGACCTGTTTGACATTTTTGTTGAGAATTGTAAAAAAAACTATGTCCCAGGGGAATGTCTAACAATCGATGAAATGCTTATAGCTTTTCGAGGCCGATGTAAATTTCGCCAATACATACCTTCGAAACCAGCTAAATATGGCATAAAGATTATTGCTCTTGTAGATTCCGAAAAGTTTTATATCAAGAACCTTGAAATATATCCAGGAAAACAACCTGAAGGCCCATACTCTCAGAGCAACAAACCGTTCGATGTCGTAGATCGCATTGTACAGCCCATATCTAAAACCAATTGTAATGTAACCTTTGACAATTGGTTTACAAGCTACGAAACCATCCAGCATTTGCTCCAGCATCACAAACTAACATCTGTCGGCACGTTACGTAAGAACAAGAGACAAATCCCTCCGGAATTTACTAAAACACGTGGAACGGAGGTGTATGCGTCTCGATTTGGTTTCCAAAAAGACTGTACCATTGTTTCCCATGTTCCTAAAAAAAATAAGGTCGTTTTACTGATATCAAGCTTGCACCACGATGACGCTATTGATGTTTCAACTGGAGAAAAGAAAAAACCAGAAATCAACACGTATTACAACTGCACCAAATGTGGCGTGGATGTAGTCGATGAACTATGTGCCACGTATGACGTGAGTCGTAATTCGAAGAGGTGGACCATGACCATTTTTTATGCAGTACTGAACATGGCAGCTATCAATGGGCTTATAATACACCGAGTAAATAATAATTCAAATATAAAACGCCGCCGCTTCTTGAAAAACTTAGGCCTAGCTCTTGTGGGAGATCATATGAAAAAACGCAAAGACGTTGTGCCATTGCCTCGAGAAATGCGAAAAAAGATCGGTCGATTCGTTGGCGAAACTTCAGCAGAACCTCCAGCAAAAAAGAGCAATGTTCGCAGGAGATGTCAGGTATGCCCAGCAAAGAAAGACCGCAAAACAACCCATACATGTAAAAAATGCAACAAATTTTTTTCCCCGAGCACGTCCTACCTTTATGCTCTGACTGCTTCGACAATGATGAGTCTGATTAAAGTTAAGTTAAGTTTCTCAAAAGACACATAATCTTAGTTCCTAAAAATGCAAAGTACATTCAAGACTGATAAAAAAATTATTATTTTTGTTAGTTTAGGTAAAATGTGATTAAACTGTTGATTTTTTTTAGTTATTTTGGAAAGAAGTTTAATAAAAGTAATTTAGTAGTTGTAATTAATATTTTTGTTTTTTTTTTTTGCTAAATCTTTTAACAAAAAACCTACATTATTCAAGAAATAAATATTTTGCTTTAAAATTATTGAAATATTATAAATCAAAAATATGGGTTAGGATGACCCACCCCGGTGTCCGTGTAACAATTTTCCACCCCCATGACGCCGGGTTAATAAGCATTATATTATTTCATTGTTTTAACTATATTAGTTTTAAGAAAAAAAAAAAGGAACAAACACAAGCTAGTGATGCCAGTTTCTCGACTCCACAGATTCAGTAATTAATTCTTGGGGCAATGTATACGCTATTACAATGTAGTATCTACCTAGTACCTATACGTACGTTTGGGTATAATCTTATATATAAACTTATTAATAACGTAATTACAGTCAGTCTTACGTCAACACTCAAGCGTTTCATTTCTCTCGTCCTTATATGGCGACCCTGCCAGCGGGCGCATCAGTAACGCGAGATGACTTAGTTTGATACCGACCCGTGTGTTCGATGTGCAAAAAAAAAAAAAACAACAAAATTATGGTGTTGCTTTTGTTCGCGCTTTAAAATATGTGTAACTCTAAAGTAGAAAAGGAGGACATTTTTATAAACCAAAATGCTGCGGCTGCAGAAAATAACGCATATATAAAGGAGTTAAAATTTCACGCGTCCACTACAAATATTCTACTACTGGTAATATTGCTATTGATGGCTCTTTTCATCCTCTATATTATATGGAGAGTATACCGAAAAATGCACCACCGCTGGGTCCAGCAGGGGATACATCAGTATATACTCCGTGGATCATTCAGACGTCAACGGGCTACCTTACCTGGTTCTACAGCTGTTATTGATCACTAATTTACGTTGTACGAAAAAGTTATTAATATTCTAAGAAAGTAATGTATTGTAAGTGATGTAACCCGAGCAACCTGACTCCGGAATGCAAAACATGCTTTTGTAAGGAACGTAATGGAGAGATGGACTTTGATAGGTATTTGAGTCTATATGTAGCTTACGTAACAACTATTTAATATTAAGTATAAAATATTATATTTGTATAACTTAAAATTAAAAAAAAAAATTAGTAATAATGAATTTTAATCATAAGCATATTTTGTTGAGTTATGGCAGATGATTTAAAAGTATTGTGTCAAGAGCTAAAAATAATTAAAGAATATTTAAGAAAAATTGGTCCTGAGCGTAGAAAAGGTAATATTTACGTTGTTAAGTTAAGTGAAGCAAATAATTTGTATAGCCAATATTTAACATTAAATTCTTATTTGCAAAATGAACTAAGCTGTGGTAATATTAGCGCTAGTGATAGTAAGTTGATAGTCGACTATTCACAGAAATTTCTTTCATTATATAAAGATATTGTAAAATATTCTTCAAGTACACCATCTGAGTCGAAAGAAAGTGAACTTATAAGTAATTTAGGCCAAACTATACCAACCTTAAACATGGATAAATTCGATTTAAAAGTCGCCCTGAGTTTATTACCAGTTATGAATGATGATGAATCTGTAACTAAACAATTAATAGATTC